AATTCTCTTTTGCCCAGCCACCAGTCACATTTGTTGTGGCGCTTAAGATAACGAACTGCGCCTGTGAGAAATAATGGAATAGTCAGCTTTCTTCGTCATGGTGTCATATATGAAGCTCCGGTCAGCACACGTCCTAAAGCGTGCACGTATCGTTCGTTCATTTGAGGAAAGGCAGACGGGGTAACCAAATCATTTCTATTACTTGCCCGATTTGTCCAGTTCTGCCTTATAGCCGCCATATAGTTGATATTATTTGTGAGTAAAATTTAAAAAAAGAACGTGTCAAAGAAATATCCCTTTTTTCGCTAGAGACTAGTGAGGAGAGTGAGACATCGCCCATCTTGGAAGATGACCTATCTTCGAAAGAGTTGTGCGCCAAATTTTGACTGGCGGAGACTCTAAACAAGACTATCTTTCTGGATAGAGTTTTTATTAAGGGGGATGTTAGTACAGACTGACAGATCGTAGTCGATTTGATGCATGATTATAGTATTATCTTCGCCTTACTTACCGACAACATTTCATCGGGAAGCTGTTCATCAAAATGTTTTCAAAATAATTTATATGACACGAGTACTGCGAATCCGCAGACTGTGTTTCCCTTCTTGAAGTTCATCAGGTAGGCATATTATTGCAAGTGTTTATTCATGGATTGTAACGTTTTAGCCGACGGTTTTGGCTCTAAGTCTTCTATGCTACACACCAGGTGACATTCAGTTTGTTCAATAATATCCAGACCAACTTGGGCCTGAGGTCTTCTGTTCGCAGTATTTTTGTGGAAATTTCCTGTACAAGTTGATCGATCGTTGTTCAAAGACTTGGGGTGATGTATCACATAAGAGCAATAATGGTAGCTGAGAAACGGTGTTAACGCACTAACGAATGAGATTAATCTAGTATCTGTTGACCTGTCAACTTTGTTTTCCTTAGGGGGAATGTAAAGTTTGTTTTGAATTGCCTTCCATGCAATCCCCTATCTTTCTATCTACTGGTAAAATCACAAATCGGGCACTGACTGACCACCAAGTGGAAACCATCCAAAGGGACTACTTATCAGTGAGACATTTACCTGCTAAGTCCGGTGATCTGGCAGTGGTCAGCCAAGTAAATTCACGGTGAGCTAGAACCCTCATTGAGCAGGAGAGGCAGTTGACGGCTGCAAAAGTTACAAGAATCTTATAAAACATGAATAATATGTAGCCAGGTGATAAGTTGCTCGAAAGTTTCTCGCATGGTTTTCGTTTTGATCTTACAAAGCCATTCATTCAACCTCACAAAATAGCACCAGTAGTAAACAACAGGCCACATTCGACGTAGCACGACCGATCACGCGGTACTGTCATCCGTTGTGCTTATGTACGTCCAGCTACACCACGGCCATACATTTTGAAAATACTGTAAATGAGATCAGTACTCGAGGAATCAACGGTCTCATTGATGACTTCAGCTCGTGGGTGGAACAGCATCAGAGATTCAATCCTAGATGGATGCATCTAGGTACAGCTTGTTTGTAAACATGCAATATAGGAAAGTAATGTCAGTATTAAACTTTATGTTTTGCACATTATTCCTTGCAGAATCTCCAAGCAGACACAAATCACATGCTTCCAGGATCGGTTCAAATCTTCCAACACAGCTTAAAGGTGGAGGCGTCTTGTGCAGAAATTTTCATCCACCTCCAGTAAACGAAAATTTTCGAACAAAAAGATCTTTAAATCCACGACTTTTGTGTCGCAAACAAGAGGATCGGTTAATTCCACAATCCGAGCCGCACTTCCTTAGCAATGAGATGTGCTCAGACAACGCTTCTCAGACAGACTCAACCTCGGTTGATGTCCTTTCGAACAGACTTCAGTTGCTGTTCAACAGTCGGCAGAGCAGAGGAGCAAAAAATATCATGGTGATCCGGTCAAACAATGGAGGGTCTGGACTAACTGCACTTCCTGTAAGTTTACTTGCATTGCAGTGTTAGTTTACTGGAATGGGTTACGTGGCTAAAAAACAGGGGTGTCGTGAGGGCGGAAAAAGTGAATTCTGCTTTGTGTCCATCCATTCCGTGATTACTTTTGGCAAATTCGATTTTTAGCTGATTAAGTTATTAGATTATATGAAAGTCACGGACGCTAGTCACCTAATAGCCACTTCGTTCATCCTTAACATCTCATCTTTATTTGGCAGTAAATTCTCAGATTTGAAGCAAAAATTATTCCATGCAAGATATGTTTGCTTTCCTATTTGCATTTTTGAAGGACAAAATCAGTCATCGATCGTGCTGCGTAACAACTATTTTAAAATGAAGAACATTTTCAATAACACTCTTGGTGCACTTTCAAATGGATTCTTGACCTGGGGGTGTCATAAAATTGATTTTTTGAAACCGGTACATTTTGTTGAAACGTTCTTATCCGTAGGTTCTAGTGATGTCGACTCCTACTTCATCTTAAGGTGTAATGGAAATCTCATGCTCCTGCTAAAAGCTTCCATTCTTTATCACGCCTCGATATTTCTGATGGGGTTCATCTTCTGATCGTGAGACAACAGGTTTAAATGTTTATAGTAATCATAATTTTGTAGGAAGAACTACATTACTTGCAGGGCTTTGATATCGGAAAGCAATATCTCCAGCAATTTTGTTGACTTTACAGGTTCTCGGCGCGTTCTTGAACTTAGCGAATGGACGTCCGCAGGAAGTGTAGCTAGTTAAATAGTTTTCGCCAGCACAGTAATATCTAACCCCATAAAGCGTAATCAGTAAAGTCCCACCTATGCTTACTGTGCTTTTCAAGCACCATTTATTAGTCAATAATATTCCCCCAGTGGATATTTCCTTTCCATGGTCACAGCAGGAAAGAGCTTACAGCTGTTACAAGGTATTACTTCTGTTGTGATTAAGAAGAACTTCAACCTAAAGTGACTGACATTCCTATATTTTATGCTGAAGCTACTGTTATGGCTTTCTTTTGCAGTTTAACAAAACATACTTGTGAAATACAATCATTTGCAAACAACTTTCGTTTTGCCAGTCTCACCTAGAACCCAACTTAATCCCTCGTTTGTGATGTTTCCAGGTAACTGAATGTGTGACGTTCGAACATAGCACTGTAGGGAGAGAGAAAATCAGGTTTGAGTAGAACACCATTAGTACCCTTCTAGTTGCACCTAAATTTTACCGCAAAAGATATGCACCTGAAGATTTTGGCCAGACTATTGGGGCCACCCACAGAGCTGGCCCCGATAAACGAATCATGATTAAGTGGTACCTAGGAGTGAAGTTATTATACATAGGGTTAAAGCACTCACATAAGGGAATTAATTGAGGTACGGTCAAATTTTCAAAGTGAGAGCGGCTTCTCATCCTGAAGGATTTCAATGCAATCTACACTGTAGACTCCTGCCTTAGGCTGCACAACATCTTTCTGTGAAGAACAATTTGAACATCATAATACTGAAGTTGAAATTGTAAAAATCGCACACGAGACATCGAATCAATTTTAGTTCTCCTAATTCGTTAATATTAACCTGTCTGTCTGTCACGCTTAGTAGATGAAGTGTAAATCAGACAAAATAACCTGTCTCAAGTGTTTGCTATCCATCGATCAAAGGCGTCAAAAAGTCTTCTTTTTTGGAAAAGAAAACTTCCAGAGGTTTGCACTTTGGTGCCACAGTCTCATGCCAGCATAACGAAACCAGGTTTCTAGATACTTCCACAAAGGGAGAGCAGCTCATTGTTTTTCAATTTCCCTTAGTAGGGGAACTACCTGCCTTTACTCACGTATCGACTGGGCTGAAACTAAAAGCTTTAGGTTCACTGACACACGATTCGAAAACATTCCATTGATGTTTATTCACGGCATCAGTATGCCGTGCTGTGCCGTCCTATTTGAACGTTTTGTCAAACGCGCAAAAGCAGCATTACTACCACAACGGTTGATAGAATAAAGGCACCTTCTAAGTGATTACTAGCATATATCGTATCAAACTGGTCATCCATTGGGTGGCCTATTGTGCAATTTGCAGTGGTCCATTGCTGAAACCAAGAGTGATGTTGTTCTTTGAGTTGATGCGAACGAGTGGAGTTCATAAACGTCAAAAGGTTGGCTACCAAGGAACCATGTTCCATTTAATGAGGATGGAACAAACGCGAAAGGGATAGGGGGTGGGTGTGACGTGCCTGTCACCTCTATGTCAGTACTAAGGATAAAACCATAGAGACTAACCAGTAGTCTCACGATGCTAGATGTCGCTCTGTTGCGTTTGTTGTCTAGAGACAAACTAGTTTTCTCCACTCAAACGTCGCTGAATATAGATAGACCGGTTTCGCTGCTTGTTCATTGATATGTTTTCTGGGGATGGAAACCGAACTGCTAACGTTTTTTATCTATTGAAAAGAGATTGCCAGTGGTACAATCTAAATGCTAGTCCGACGAACGGAACCACAGCCAAGGTATTTATTGTGCAACACTTCATTTCAGAATCTTCCTCATGACGACAACCCCCTTGATTCAAGCCACAGCTTCCTCCCTGATTCTTCGCTGTATGTCTTTAGGACAAAAGTACCCTTAGAAGAAAATGGTGAAAAAAGCCTTTCGGAACTGACATGCGATTGGCAGTAGATTGCTCGTTTCCGCAAGTATTCGGACATATCTCTTGTCATTTCTCATACGACTTGTTAAACCGTACACCGTAGGACTTGAAGTCAACGAGTTTGAGTTTTTATTGTTTCCACAATGTGATTTGGTCAATTTTTTTTTGATGCTAAACGGCGAGAAAGGAGCAATCCAAGAAACTGTTTGTGTAAGCGGACTGTTGATAATATAGCTCAGGAAAGTTTGAAAGTCTTTTAGCCATTTTTTCCACCAGTGTAATCTACTGTGTTCTGCACATTTCTTCCGGTACAAGCTTGTGCAAAGTGTGCGGTCAAAAACCACTCACAGGCTCCCAAAACTTTGCATATAAAAAAGGATTTAAGAATAGTAGAATTGCATTAGTCCAGTGTCTGTTGAAAAAAGAGACTAGTGGGATGTGGAAGGCTCAGCCCTCCTAGAACTCACGGTTAATCAAGTGAGGATTTTGTACTTAACTGAGGAGTAACAGATAGGTTTTATCTAAAGCAGAATGCAAGCAAATAGAGATCCAACCGTAGGAATGTTTGTGGAGACTGTTTTGCGAACGAAGACCCATGTTATTGGATAAGCACTTGGTATGTGCATAACTTAGAAGCAAACTATCGAGATGGATGTATTCACAGGGTGAGGCCTTCCCTACTTCAAACTTTTCCAAATGCAGCTGCACAGTGTACCGCAGAAATGAACAAACATTTTCAGGGTTACCCGTCGGGACAGGCCGTTCAATAAGTCTCTTGATACCATCAAGGAGTAGTGACCTCGTTTCAGCACCGAATCTGAAACTAAATAAGATTGGATAAGACTGCCAGTTGCTATTTTTAGGTAAGTATATGCCGTGCTGGGTATGAAGATACCATTCGTAGTTTCACTAACAGTCTGAAGCTGTTCGAAATCACCAGGTGTTCAAACAAGACAATATTTCAGGCTAAACAGTGAATGAAGATGGTTGAATTGAAAATGGTTAGTGGCTGGATCAAAAGCTGTAAAAAGGCATCCGATCTGATGGTTGGTTACCGAGGGCAAGCAGAATATGGGTAAGCGGCGAAGTGAACACGAGTAATTTGATCCGGAAAGGTTGATAAAATTATATGGAGGCTGGAGCACGGTACACGAAGAAGAAGTAGGAAATAAGAAACGAAGGAAAAGGAGCCAGCAAGCGTGCTGGTCTCACCAGGACAACATCAAGTTCTTGACCGTTTGTTCGGAACTGCGGCTTTTAACGGCTTTGGCTACATTTCAGCTAAGTGTGGCCTATTGTGAATGTGTCACGGAACAATACCGTATATGGGTGTTTTTTGACGAATCACTGGGATATTTAATCAGACAGGGTCTGTATCTTGCCACTGACATTTCTGAGTCAGTAGACAAAGATACAGTTAGTGATACTAACTTAGTGATTTATGACGCCTTGCCTTTACACAGCTACTGTTGAAGCGTTACCCTTGAACATATTCTGTCCAATAACTATGGGTTAGCCGCTTCTGGTTGATCTTGGACGAGTAGTGAATTATTTCTGAAGGTGTTGGACATCAGCGTCGGACATCTTGGCTACGCGGAAGAGGAACTTGAGGTCCGGAAATCTCAAAATATTACAAGAACGATTACGCAAAGACAGCTGTCGGGGTTGTTAGAAGTGATTACCCACTGTTCTGTCTGAAGTCACGATGTTCCATCAAGCCACCTTGAGTGACCTTGAAAACGTAAAGTTCAAAACAAACTGCGAGTGTTCTTTTTAAAACTTACCCTTTCTTAACTAAGCAGTACAATAATATGAATGCGGTTGGAATGTTAACGGCTGCAACGTTATGCAAGCGCGCGAGATTAAATTCATATGAACCAGCTGCCCAACTTATTCCGCTCACAGGATAGAAAAAGTACCATCCGTATATTATCCTACAGAATTCGAAAGACGGTGTAAGTAGCTGGGCAGATTTCGATGTAATTGAGTAGGCGATTTATTACGGTAAATAGGCCTTGGACAATCAACACGACGAAACAACACGTTTTTTTAAATTTTGCAAAATCAGCCGGATCCCATTCTTCTTACAGGAGACGCTTACTAAAAACGGATTGTTTAATTTAGTCCAGGTTATTTTAGCTTCATTGTGAAAACTGCGGGTGG